AATATTTTAATCTATTCAAAAGATATAAAATTTATATTCATGATATTGAAAAAGTTGATTCTGATTTAAAAATTTGTCAATTACTTGTAGCTTCTATAGTATTAAAACAAAAAATTAAATTATTTAAATCAATTAATCTATTAGCACTTGAAATAAATGAATTAAAACATATGAATTAATCTTATAAGAATTTAATAATGTAAATATTATTTAGAATTAAATTTATATTTAGTTAGTACAAAATATACCAACTAGAATTTTAATAATATAAGTATAACTCAACAAAATATTAATATTGCAATTGATAGTTTAACAGCTTCAGAAAAAACTTCTGTTGGACAAAAAGTAGCAGAATTACTTGGTTATGAATTTATTGATAGTGGACTTTTCTATCGATATTTTGCAAAGATCTTTTATAGATATAGGAAAGAAGATTTAATTGATAGTGTAAGAATAATCAAAAAGGAAATGAATGATCCAAAAGAATTTTTAAAAAAATTAAATAGTTTATTTAATCTTAGTAATGATAATTTTTTGAAATATGGAAAACAAGCTTCTGAGATTGCAAAATATGATGAGCTTAGACAATTGATTAATGAGATTATACGAGAAATAACAAAAGAAAAAGGTTTTGTTGTTGTTAGTCAAAATATTACAACTAATATATTACCTGAAGCTGAATTAAAGATGGTGTTAGAAGCAAATTTTGTAAAATGTCTTGAATAAAGAAAGGATTAATTAAGTTTATCAGATGACTAAAATAGTTATTTAGAGATAGAAAAACTTTTAAGTGATATGATGAATAGAGACAAAAAAGCTGCTTCACTTATTCATGAAGCTGAAAAAGTATCTATTAAAATTGATACTACAGATCTTGAATTTGAACAAGTAGTAGAAAAAGTAATATCAATGATAGTTTGGCATATATTTTATATCATATATAATAAATTCTTTAAAATTTTATTTATTTTTATTATTATTTTTATTTACAAATTAATAAATATCTATATCTAATCAGTACATAGTACTGATTAGATTTTTAAGTATGTAATAATTCAAAAAAAAAAAATATCAAAAAGAAATATTGATCAAGTTAATGAAAAAGTTGAAGAACAAAATAGTTCTTTAATATTAACTGATAAAGTTAACAAAAAAAAGAAAACAAAAAGAATTAAAAGAGAAAAATTTAATTCTGATGAATTGAAAAAATATCTAAAAATGAAAAATTGGGCATTAGTTAATGAAGTTAATTATCAAGCTCTTATTCGCACTTACTCAGATTATAATGAATGTTTAGAAGCTATAAAGATATTAAAAAAAATTTTTGTTACAAAAAATGAGATTTATACTGAAATTGAAAATAAGTTTTCAAAAAGTAGATCAAATGAATTATTTAAAGAAATCAAAGATTTTAAAAAGAATGTACTTTTTTGGGCAAAAAAAAATGCTTTAATAGATTACGTAAATCTGAAGAAAAAATTAATGATGAAATAGAATATATTTCTGAATCTAATTCAGATGAATCTAAAAAGAATAATTTTTTTTTATAATAAATGTATTTTTTATTTATATCTTATAATCTATCTAGTCTTTTATTGATCTGATAGAATTTTATCTACGTAAAAAAAAAAATAAAATTACTTCAAAACAATCTTAGATTATTATTAAGTTCAGACTCTATTATACAAGATCAATATAATTTTTATATTGAATATTATAAAGATTTTGTTTATGTGTGAAGAAGTTTGAGAAAACAAAGATATAATCCTATATACAATTTTTCACAAAAAAAAAAAAATAATGACAAAAAAGAATTTAAACAAAACAAATAAGAATTAATTATAGATTATCAAAAAAAAAATTTCTCAAAATTACAAGAATAATCAAATAAAATTCTAATTTATCTTAGTAATGCTAAATTACCTACAAAAGAAAATGCTTTACAATTAGTTTTGGAACAAGATCAAGAAAGACAGAATTTAAAAAAAAAAAAGATTATGAATCTGAATCATTATATACTGAATTATCTTTGTCTACTCAATCATCTTATACTACAGATGATAGATTTGTTATTAAAGATAATAATCCTTTTAGGTATATAGTTAAACAGAATGCTGTAGTTAATCAAACTGATAATTTAGTTTTTAGTAATGAAGAACTTCGTATAAATAATAGTGATGATGTAATTAATATCATATCTGATCAGACACTTATTATGCCTGATTAGAATTTTATTTACATAATTTACAACAAGATGGCTTTGTATCAAGAATATTTTAGTTTTAAAACAAAGCTTGAAAAAGCAACAAATGATGAAAAAAGTTATAAAAATTATATTACTATATTGAATAGTTTATCAAAAGATAGATTTATAGTTGGATCAGTTTTAGATAATATTGTTAGAAATTATAATGGATATCTTAATAATAAGATGGTTTGTAAAAGTGCTCTAAAAACTTATAAATTTAGAGAGTATGTGTTATGTGTATTATTTAATTCATCCAAAAATATATATATTTTATTACGTCATGAAATTCCTAGTGCTGATTATAATGGAAAATATTAAGTTATTGAGGTAAAGTAGATTCTATTGATAGAAAAAAGAAAGATAATTTTTTTGAGTATGCAAAATATGAAGCATTAGAAGAATCAGGAGTTATTTTAAGTGATGATAATTTAATTTATATTGTGCCAGAAGAGAATTCCAGAATATTTCCAAAAAGAGAAACAGAAGACATTTACAAAACTGCTGTTTATATTGCTAATATAGGAGATATTACTCTACAATGTAAAGAACCTGACAAAAATAGTAAATAGTATCTTGTTGATTTCAATGAAATGAGAAAATTGTGAAATAAAGGATATTTAACTGAAATATTAGAAACAAAACTTGAGGAAATTATTGCTCATATTGTTATAAAATGAGTTTTAGTTATTTAATTTATTTAGTTAATTTCTTGAATATATTTATCGATTTCTCAATAAACTTAATAGTTAAAGTTAGTTTTAAATTAGACCATTAGATTCAGCT